TATTTTAATATTTCTATTTGCCCTTTCTCTATAATAGAAGTGTCAGAGATGAAAGAAAATTAGTAAAATGTATATGAAAATCTCCCCCCTCTCAGAGTCTGGGGCATGCCGCAGGACCTGGAGTCAAGTTCCCGCCCACCACTCGCACTCGCTTCGAAAACGCAGGAGACCCAGACCCGGCCGGCCCCACCCCCATCGAGCCCCTCTGGGTCGGGGAGTGCAGCCTCAGGTCCCCGTCAAGCCCTGCCAGGCGGGGGGCACGGCCTGAGGTCCCCTGTCAAGTCCCGCGGGGTGGGGGGCTTGGCCTGAGGTCCCTCGCCCCGGCTAGGTGCCATGTAGCTTCAGGTCCCTGCTGTCCGGTTGTGATGTTATGGTGTCCGGGCTATTTTGCATATTCCTCTACTATATAGACAGATAATTATGTATATAGGAATATATAGAATTTAGGCAAAGAAAAACAATCTGGGGAGCGCTTCGGTTTTGAATTCTGTTTTAACTTTGTGGGTTATTTGGCATGATGAACTGTCAAGAGAAAATACCATTTGCTTAGGAAAAGTGGATTGGTTTAACTTGTCTTCTGAGTGTTATTGTGACCTCAGATTTCTGGAAAAACTAAGGGAATTCAAGAGTTAAAAATGTAATATGAAGTTATTTCACCTTTCATGGATTCCGGGACATGTTAATTAAGATTCCTAACTCTGATAATTTTCTTCTTGAAACACTTGGTGCCCTGCCTCTGGTAGAAGGGTTTGCACATTAATCATGATGCTCAGCAAAATGTCATGTGGGTAAAATATTTAGTAAACCTCATCTGCTGACCTAAGAGGTAGTGATAACATCTCAGTCACTGGTCATAAATCAGATGTGTTGGTTTTTCTTTGGATTCGTTGAATGTTAGCCAATATATAGTACTTGCTATGGGCAAAGCCATTCACTTTTTACATGATTTGCTGAATACCTTCCATGTGCCAGGAGCTCTGTGCTGTTTAACTTGGGACAGACAGGATGAATGAGATGCAGCCTTTGCCCTCGTGAGCTTGCAGGCCGCTCGGGAGATGAGACGTGTACTAGTACATGTGCTGTAAGACAGACACTGAATCTGTTGGGCGGTAGGGGGGGGGGGGCAGAGAAAGCATCTTGAAACAAGTAGCATCTGATCTGGATAAGATTTCAGTAGACAGATTGTGTTAATGGGACTTTCTCCGCTTACACAGCACGGAGATGTGCTCTCTCACTTACTGAGGGTCACTGCAAGGCTCCGCAGGAAGTAGGAAGGGCAGGAGAGCAGTCTCCGCCGCCACGCAGACAGGCCCCGCGGAGAATCAGACACTGCCCTTTCTTGTCCCCTCATCCCATGATCTACACTATGGCCACTAAGCTCGCTTCCATCTTTGCCTTCACAGCAAAGGCAAAGGGTATGTGTATCGCCATTTCACTCCTCAAACTGAGGAACAAAATAGATATAGAGATATAGAAGTATGGAACAGACTGACAAATCTCAGAGGGAAAGGGCTGGAGGAAGAGATTAACCGAAGAATTTACATGCATAACATATGGACACAGACAATAGTGTGGTGAAGGCGGCAGTGGGGAAGGGGATGGGACATCTGTAATACTTGCAATGATAAAAATAAATTTTAAAAAATAGAGTCTGGCTTGGCTAGTCTCTATTCATCAGTAAGCTGCCTGCTGCACAAAGTGCATACCAGCTACCTCGAAGGCTGCTTGCCAGCCCCTGGATACATGTTTTTGGCTTAGGGTCGCATTCCTTCTGTAAATCCATTGTGTCCGGGGAGATGGGGTCACAATGGTACGGAGCAGTGCTTCTGAAATGTCAGCGTGTGTCTGAATCATCTGGGGACCTTGTGAAATTGCAGCTCTGATTCGGTAGGTCTCGGTGTGACATGAATTCTTTGTTTCCAACCAGCTCCCGGGTGCTGCTCCTCCGACCACACTGAGAGTAGCGAGGTTAGAGCACGGTGACCCCGTGTGACTGCAGTTACTCGGTGGACAGGCTCTGTGGGCGGTCTGTGCTTGTGAGATGGCACTGCATGTGGAGGAATAGGCATCGATAAATGAATGGGGGAAGATGCAGCGTTGATGTCTCTGTGTGGGTTAGGTAAGGCTGGTTTTGCATAGGGGGAAGGTCAGAATGAATAAGGCATCTTCAGACCAAACAGTCAGTCATCAGAGCATTCGGGTGCAGTCTGAAGAACAAGGCTGTTGGGGTTGGCTGTTCGTCCTTTTATCGTTTAATCCAAAGCAAAGCAATAGTTATTTTAATGTTTTCAGTGAGAGACGGGATTCATCTTTACTTGAGAGCTTGATGCAAAACTCCTTTCACAGTTTGCCGCCCAGTCTGTGATGATAGTGAGGCTTGGCTGCGGGATCTGCAGGAGGACTTGGTTGTTCAGGATGAGAAATGGATAGGAGCCCCTCGTAGTGACACCAACTGGCAGATGCCTTATTATTCTGGTGCCTCAGGAGAATCACACATTTCTCATGGTCTTCATTAGAGAGCCATAGAAGTGATTGCTCAGCACTTGGCCCCCAAAATCCTTGAACTCAACATTCATAGAATTAATCCCAGTTTCAAAGCATCATTACATTCATCCTTCTGTTCATTCCATAAATATAATCTAAGACTGGCTGATTAAAACCCAGAGAGTATTTTATGTGATGGTGCTAGAGCCCAGTTATTGAGAATTATGAATAATGTCTATGAGAAAGGAACTGAATTAATCCTTCTGACAGAATGGCAGCTATGTGAGGAAAAGCAGCATCTTCTGACAGCTTCCTCATTTCATTCATTACATTTGAAAATTACATTCATTTAGGCCCCATGTAATATTTAGGTCTTTTCTTCACAGTTCAGTGACATAGGGGAATGATCACTTTATATTCTTTTATTATCTGGCACTCACATACTTTAACTTTGTCTTCTTACTTTAAATATGACATATTTTCACTTTAATGATCAGTAAAAGGCAAAAATGGTTATTTTAAGTGATTGACTAATAAAGTCCTTTTTAAAAAAAAAAAAGTCAAGGATTATCTTAATTTATGTGAGTAAAATCTTGAAAAAGATTTTTAAAGTTCACCTTATGTTGGTAATCATGTAAAATTCTGACTTACTGAATAGTTCAGTCACATGACCTTCTTTGCCTTCTCTAATTTGGTTTTCAGTCGTCGAAGAAAGGATGCTGTTTAGTATGAGAAAGACTTCTGGCGCAGTGAGAAGAATGCTGGCCTTGGAGCCAGGCAGACTTCTTGTTTCAGTTTCTTTTTGACACATGCTTGTGATGTTACTCTGGGCAAGTTATTTAATCTCTGTGCGCCTTAGTTTCCTCTGTAAACCTGCGGTGTTCATACCTCCTTTGCAGAATTATTTTGTTGATGAAACTAAGTAATGCATGTGATGCAGCAGTATAAACATGACCATGTGACACAATTTCAATAAATAAACACAAAGATTTAAAAATGTAGACAAAATATTATTTTGTTTTGATATAAATTAAAAGCAAAAGTACTTTTGTTACTTCATATTTGCATGGGAATAGCGTTGTCTATTCTTGACATAAGTGAAAACAGCAGTGCTTTGAGTTATGATTATAATTGCCACTCAATTAATGTATATATTGGAATCACTGTTGTCAAAAAAAAAGTAGTTTTCCAAAAAGTAAGTAGTGACTTTGTATTGTTTACCAAAAGAAATTCTGATTTTCAAAATGTAGTTAGTAAATTCACTCATGTGAAGTAATTAGTATGCAGAAATTCAGAGAAATCGTCAGTAATCAGTATTGTTCAGAGTCAGGTATTTTGTTAATTCACTGTAATCTAACACGTCGGAAAGTCAACAACTGCCCATGTTGTTATTTTTCTGGTTTTGTTTTTTTAAATTAAGTTTTTTTATTGAACAGATACTTCTTTCTTTCTTGTGTGTTAATCCTCACCCAAGTATATTTTTCTATTGATTTTTAGAGAGTGGAAGGAAGGGGGAGAGACAGAGAGAGAGAAATATCGATATGAGAGAGACACATCTATTGGTTGCCTCCCACATGCTCCTTGACCAGACCCAGGGATTGAGACTGCAACCTAGTTATGTGCCCTTGCTTAGAATCAAACCCAGGACCCTTCAGTCTGAAGGCCGACACTATCCACTGAGCAACACCGGCTAGGGCATGCCCATGTCTTCTGAGAATGAGGACCAGAAATATTGTGTAAGAATTAGGTACTCCACTGTCTTTCAAAATAAAGGAAGTCAGGTAAAGTCTTCCATGCCACATGGAGGACAAATGTTTTCAATGAACAGACACACACACTCTCACATACACTGCCACACAGTGAAAAATACAATGACATCTTTATGACGATTTCCTAGCTAACAGGCCACAGAACCACCAAGACTCATATATTTCTAATAGGATCCTTTGTATTACTTTTATAATTAGCCTCCCTTAGATTGATAGCAAAAAAAGGAGCTATCCATTATTTCAGGTGGTGCGTCATTGCAAGTGCTGGTATAGCAAATGCAGTATGTTTGCCAGTGTTTTTTCATTTGATGAAACATCTGGGGCATTTTGATTTTTATAAAAGTGAATGAAGCCATGGATAAAAAGAGCAATGGAAATGCTTGGAAACGTGGTTCAAGAGAAAGTGAATTTAAAGGCCGCCTCCTGAGTGTGTGGATGTGGATCAGGTTGTATTCTGTTTCAACCTGGGAGATTTTCTTAAGACCAAATTGATTTCCAGAATGTCCCAAGTGTTTAATTCTAGTGTAGCCTACAAACAGCCGAATCATCCATGCCAAAGCACTGCTTTCCTCCTTTATAACACAACAGTCATACTGCGTTGCAGTTCACGGCTTGGAGAGGGGGGGATACTTTAAATCTGGATAAATGATAACCGTTTAGCTTATTTCTCCAAGCATCACCATTCTTATCCTTTGGACTCGTTCAGCATTTCTCTACTCGTGCTTAACCCTACGTTTCTTTACACAGATCCAGTGCCCCACTTGCCAATTCGTCTGGTGTTTTAAGTGCCACTCTCCTTGGCATGAAGGTGTTAATTGCAAGGAGTACAAAAAAGGAGACAAACTATTGCGTCACTGGGCCAGCGAGATTGAGCACGGCCAGCGGAACGCCCAGAAGTGTCCAAAGTGCAAGGTGAGCTCACCTTTAGGTGGAAAGAACCGACACATGTGCACCTGCATGTCATTGAGTAATATTATTACAACATTGGAGTGAATTGTAGGTATGACTTTATTATTGCAGGTGAGGAGAAGTATATGTGCTATTTCATTTTAGAAGAGTAATTATATCACATAACTAAATTGCAAATTTTGTATATGAACAATGTAAATGCTTTTTGCATTACATTTCAAAATTTAGAGTGGTTTTCTATAATAATAAAAGGGTAATATGCTAATCAGACCAGGCATCTTCCAGACAACCTTCCGGACAAAACCACGGTGGCGGGGGCCAAGGCAGAGGCGGTTAGGGGTGATCAGGCCGGCAGGGGAGAGCAGTTAAGAGCAATCAGGCTGGCAGGGGAGGACAGTTAGGGGTGATCAGGCCCGCAGGCAGAGAGGGTTAGGGGTGATCAGGCAGGCAGGCAAGTGGTTAGGAGCCTGCGGTCCCAGATTGCAAGAGGGATGTCCACCGAGGGGGTCCCAGATTGGAGAGGTTGCAGGCTGGGCTGAGGAACCACCTCCCACCCCTGTGCATGAATTTTGTGCACTAGGCCTCTAGTATATAAATAATTGTCCTTAAACTTCAAAATTCTTCTTTTCCACTTACAAATGGAGATGTATGAACAGGGTAAAGCTAGTATGAAAATGGTACCCACGTATTGTTTCCAGTTTGCTACATGAATTATAATAACTTCTCCGCTACGCAGGCTCTGAATCCTGCGGCCCTTTGCTTGTCTTTCCCTCTGCCACTGCTCGTCACTTGAGGGTTACAGTAAACTGATCATTTGCCTCTTGTAAATCTAAGCGCTAAAATCAGGACTTAGGAATTGTATGAATTCCATTTTTCCTCTTTCTCTTGATAATCGTGCAAGTAAGCAGGCGTGAGCAGGTATCTGAGCTTTGACCTTGATGTTGAAAGAGTGTCCAAAGAGAAAGCAGCAAGTCAGTTCCGCCAGGAAACTTTGGATTTGATGCTGGCAGAATAGGAATTGTTGAAATTTGAAGTTGTTTTTTAAAGTTCACATTAGAAAATTATATGTGTGTATATGTATATGTGTAGTCTGCCATATGGGGTTTCCACTTTTTGCCAAATTTATTTTTTAAAATCATGTCTAAATTGGGCTTTATTTCCTTTTAAGAACAATTCTGCCATTTCTCTCCTGGAAACTTAGCAACAGATAAATAAAATTTGAAGTTTCAGACAAATTTTTAAATTAATCATTGTGAATTCAACTTGAAGCAATAAAAGTATCTGAGGCTGGTTAATGAGCATGAATCACTATGCCAAATGCACCTACTAGTTTATACATATAGTAAATAAAAATATTGCCTGGAATAACATGTCACGTTCTTAGTTAATTGGAGGAAATTTTAGAAATAGTTTAGATGACCTGGCTCTCTTAAAAGTGAGGTGTGAAGATGTTTGTGCTAAAACTTTCTTTGTTTCCCCTCTAGATGGCAATTTCATCTGCAGTTATCCTTTCGATTTTAGGGCTTCTTCCGATCCAGCTGCTCAGTACATTTTATTCTTCATCCATTGATGGACAATGGAACAATAAGGCCTTTCCCCCTCTGTTGTCTTTTCTGTTTATTGAAAGCTACTGCTCAGTTTCAGACTAAATGAAGGCCAGTAGGAATTTAGGTGTGCTGTTAAGTCATTCTACTTAACTTTTTGTACATAAGTATACCTTATATCTCTCTGGAAAGCTATGAAAACAATTACCTGTTAGCCTGGCTGTAAGACTGTATGCGGAATGAGCAGCCCTGCAGCATTATGCATTGGGAAATCCTGAATGAGTTGAGGTCATACATAGAAACATACCTTTGTTACTGTAATCCCTCATTGAACACTAAAAGGACTCTGATGTATAGAAAGAAAAGGCAGCCGACTGTAATGACTTTACTGAATGCACTGAAAACTTCTCGCAGTTTTAACAAATAGGCACAGTTAAGGGAAAGCATGCGTGCTGGTTCCCTGGTGAGGCAGTGGCTAAAAGGCAGTGGCTCCGAAGGGAATTACCTTTGAAATAGCTGAAAGGAGAGGAGCCAAGGAAGGTGGAATCAGTTGAAGTGACCACCTTGTAGCAGAGAATCTACTGTCTGGTGAGATTCAAGTTCCACAACATTTATGTCAGTTTAAGTCATCTCTTATTGCCTGTTTTGAATACAAATGGTTTCAGTTTTCTTTTAAACATGTGACTTTGGAAACAGTATCAGGACTCACATGTTTTTTTGTATTGTGGTAAAAAAACAAACATAAAATTTAGCATCTTAACCATTTTTATGTGCAAATGGTGGTGTTTTTTTAAATTTATATTTTGTTTGAAAGCTTGAAATACTTAAACTATTCTGAAGTATACACTCATTACGATTCTTTAAACTGAAGTAATCTATTTTATTGGTTTTGTTTTCAGAAAGTGGTAACCACATATAATTTTATTGTTCAACACGTATGTTTTAAAGTCTGTTTCTTTAAAGCAAATTTTTAAATAAATATTTATTTTAATTAATTATAAATGTGTAGCAAAACCCCAGCTAGATATTCCTAAAGGCCTGAAAATTTTAGATTTTAGAACAGTGGTTCTCAACCTTGGCTGCACATTAGAATCACTTGGGAATCTTTTTAAAATCCTGATTTCTGGGCCTCATCCTCCGGAAATTCTGTTTCTTTGTTATGGGGTGAGGCCACAACATTAGTAACAAAGAAACAGAATTTCCAGAGGATGAGGCCCAGAAATCAGGATTTTAAAAAGATTCCCAAGTGATTCTAATGTGCAGCCAAGGTTGAGAACCACTGTTTTAGAAGAAGAATTAAAAATCTCAGTATTACTGTATAATGTAATACTAAACTTTATTAAAGATTACAGTTTTGAAGCCTTTGAGAATGTAGGGGAGAACTTTGTAAGAATGGTTAATAATCCAGTCTTCTGGTTGTTCCTCAAATGGTTTAATATTAGTTAATTTGTGTTACTTGTCTTAACCAGATTTGGACTCTTATCCATATCATGTTTTTCCTTTATGAAGTTTTAAATTGTTAAAACCCCATTTTTCCCAATGCCAGATTTCTGCCCTCTTGAGTATATTTTTCTTAACAAATGTACTTCCAAAAGAGTAGCCATATCTTCTGGCCCTTTAACTGATACTTTGACGTAAGCCAGTGTAAAGTAAACAGGAAATTAAGAAACAATTATATAAAGAACGGAGTATATAAAGGAAGCATTGTCTCTTCAAAAATGTATTTCTCAAGTAAATATTGCAACATATTACCATTATTAAATGTAGGTGGTGAATCCCTGTATGTCTATGACATTGTTATCTCTAATTTTTAAAATGTTTGAAATAGTTCACAATTAGAATTAAATAAAATGTAATAGTGGAACAGAAAGCAACAACATTCTGGAGCTGTTTAAACATCTCTACTTGTCTACACAACCTCTAAGGATTTGGCTGTCACATTTTTTTTCCTTCCTCAGGTAAAAATTAAATGTTGCTTAGAATATGGGCTTACTAAAGCAAAGTTGGTTTAATATTTTTCAAAATGGTTAGCTTTCTTTTTATTTAGAAAATTAAAGGGCAATCTCTCAAACATTCCTTTCCCAACCAGGTATTTTTATACAAAGGTAAGAGGAATATTTATACAAACATTTATGTATTGTGGTACAAATATAGCCACAGAACTAGATTGCATGCAGCTGACCACCTTAATTTTCCTCTTATCTAAATCTCACATCTCAATTTAGGACATTTTCTAAAACAGTGAATAGAGATCATTAATTAGAAAATTATACATTTTGATAGGTTAATATATAAGTAATGTGATTTATGAATTAAGGAGTAATTAAGTCATTTATTTTATTCCAGTGTCAACATACATATTCCCTATTTCTAGGTGACAAAATAGTCACTTTTCTAAATTATTTTTTTAATTCTTTATTGTTAAAAGTTTTACATATGTCTCCTTTTTCTCCTATTGACCTCACCCTGCATGCTTCTGCCCCCCCAGCACATGCCCCCACCCCCTACTGTCTGTGTCCATTGGTCAATTGGTCATACTCATGTGACTTTTTTTTTTAAATAAATGCCAAGATATGAATAGGGAGTGCTGAATTCTGATATGCCATCTTTATTTTATTCATGAAAATGCCTTTGTACAGTGCTCTGTGTTTCTTTTTGTTCTTACCACAGTAACAATAATTATCTATAATAATAAAAGGGTAATATTCTAATTAGACTAGGCATCCTTCTGGACGGCCTTCCTTCCGGACAAAGCCGCAGTGGGCGGGGGCTGAGGCAGAGGCCCCTAGCCACAGTGGGTGGGGGGCCGGGGCCAAGGCTCTTGAACAAATTTGGTGCATCGGGCCTCTAGTCCTATATAATAAAAGAGAAACATGCAAATTAGCCATCACTCTGCTACGCTCAAGCTACCCCACAGGCCACACCCACAAGCCATGCCCACCAGCCAATCAGAGTGACTATGCAAATTAACCCAGCAAAGATGGCGGTTAATTTGCATACGCAGGTGTCAGGCGCCCCAGGAGACAACAGCAGCCGTGGCCGCGTACTCCCAAGACCTTCGTAGGTCCAGGAGGTGAGGCCGTAGACATGCCCGTGGGCTCCTGGGACCTTCACAGGCCCAGGAGGCGAGGCTGTAGACACACCTGCAGGCTCCCAGGACCTTCGCCAGTCCAGGAGGTGAGACCGCTCGCGCCTAACCACGCCCGTGGGCTCCTGGGACCTTGCCGGCGAAGAGCGGGAGGTTTGGAGGAATTGGCAGAGCAGGAGACCGCTGGACTGCGATAGAGAGGGCAGCATGGAGTGTGCAGCTCCCTCTGTCACCCCAGCTTCCTCATCACAGCTGTGGAAACTGACAGCAAGGAGGAGGAAGTCCCACCCCTGCAGAATCAGCCAGAATCAGCCTTTGGTCAGACAGCTCCCAGTCGCCTGATAGCCAGGACTGTCATTCACCTGCATCTC